TCTTGCGAGAGTTGGGCAGAAAGAATCCCCATCCATGGACATGAGGCTTTCCACATAATCGAGTTTTTGACGCACATTATTGATAGAGGGATAGATGTTGAAGCGCTTCAATTCACGATTAGCAGTGAGAATGAGCAAATGAACCTCATGTATGTATCGAAAGACTATTTCATTCCTCCAAAAATATAATGGACTTAAGCCCCATGAAGTTGGTCCAATGCTATATTTCTTGGTCCAACCCCAACTCTTTCCACATGCACCACTTCCCCCTTCCAACACCCATAAATCCATAAAACTAGGTTCAAGCATATCTCCGTATTGAAAAAGCACAGCAACTTTGTTCTCATACACATCTAACACAATTTGAGAGGAAGGATTAGTACGAAGAGGGATCAAAAAAGGTGTTGGTATCAATGTAAAAACTTCCATTGTTAGATCAAATGAAACTATCTTGACGGAAGCTTCACCCCATCCCAACCAAAATATAGCCCCATTAAAAGTGAGAGGGTGACAAGGAAATGCTCGAAGCCGCCGTAGAGCCCCAGATTCCACTTCTTTCCAGGACCCCGTTCTTAGTGAAAACACTTCCCCGTGAATACCGCCGTCCTCGTCAAATTTGATTGAAGGACGGTTAGTCGCATAAATTCTCACTATCTTATAATCCCTAACCACAGGACAAAGCCCAAATCCCCATCCCAGAGCCTTATCTTTCGCTGACCTGGGTACTTGCCTTACCTCTCTAGTCGCTGGGTTCAACAGCAAAAGCCAAGGAGGAGGAGAATCATTATAAATACCATCCCGTATTACACAAAGCAAGCCGTTGCTGGAACCAATGATGCTGTAAAGATTCCTTAAGGAATCCATGGCGGGTATTCTCTCAACTTCCACAGGTTCCGTCTTATAAGGAACCAAACACAAGGGCGAATATATAGGTTTGCGACTGAAATCAGTGCAGATAACAAGAGGGTTGTTGTGAGCAGAGTGGTGGTAGTGCTCTGCGATGAAATATGGGGATTCCAAGAGGTTTTTCCAATCTTTACACGCAGCACGAAATCGAACGAGGGATTTAACAGGAAGCCTTCTGAGAATGTTTCGGATGATGTCCAGGGGCAGGTAAGGATTGTCGCCTCCAATCCTTTCCACGGATTTAACTGGAAGAAGCCTTTTGAGAATGTTGTGGATGATCTCCAGAGGCAGACAAAGATTGTCGCCTGCAATCGCCATATCGGAGTGAAGGAGACGATCACTGGCTTAAGAGCTAAGGAAAGGGATTCAGAGGTGCGTATATTATCTATTCATGTGTTACTTCGTTGAATCTTCGATTTAACTTTATTTTATATTATGTATTTATTAAAATAAAAATTTCTTTAAAATGTTAAAAATATAAATTGCATGTGATTTGCCTAAAATCAATTTCAATAATCATATTAAGAATTTAAGATATGGAGCGATCATCAAGAAAGTTGGAAGCAGATCCTCTCTTCCTTTTGTTTTATTTTGTTCTTCCTAAATTTCATTTCTATCTTTAAATTAAATGGAGCATTCGGATTTTATAGTTTGTAAAATTATTATTATAATATTTTATAAATTAAAAATTTTCTATTTCTTCTATATTGCAATTATGAACTATGCATGTTATGTTTTAACGGTTTAAATTTATTTGTTTATTTTTATATTTTATAAGTGAATAATACAATTTCAAGTTAATTTGAATAAATTTTAATAGCAAAACATCTAATCCTTCCCGTATGAAACCTTAAGCAATAAGGAATTTTGTTATTTACGTCTTGACAATATCAAATATACGAATACTTGAAATTTTTTGGCAGTGGACAACTAAAGTAATGATAAAAAAAAAAAAGTTATATACTATATAGTAAAACATGCTCGTTTTGAATCATAGATTTTTGCAGAAAAAAGTTTTAAATTATAGATCAAATGTCACTTAAATCCGAAACATGATAATGTTATCTTATCTTAAAATTATATTTTATAAGATAACGATATAATTTTAAGAAAAGTTAATTTAAATAGATTTTAATAGCAAATCATCTAATCCTAATATCCTCATATTTCTCTTAAAATATAAGGCCAGGGCCTCCGATTATTGCCCTGCGTAGGCTGTTACCATTTCATGCTTTCACATTTAGAGACAGTAAAGACAAGAAAACCAAAGTTTGGAACATCTGATGCTGAATTTCTACATATCTTAGAGACAATAGACATAAAGGGCACCAACATTATAGGGGCAGCCAGGATGTGAGAGCTTTTTTACAAATTCATTTCCACGACAAATATAGAGGGCATCAATATCAACAGACCTAAAGACTCTCTGTGTACTTGAAAATAAAATGAGAAATCACACCCATATAAACAGGTTGCAATACCAAGACTTGATAAATATAGGAAGACCTTCATGTTACATACCAAGCCTGTGGTGATGTGATTCACCAGTTTAAGCACAGAACACAAAGCAACAACTTAAACGGTTGGTTCCACAGTTAGAGTGTAATGCTGAGATCCAGCAGCAGCAACACAAAGCAACCATTCAAATAGTTCACTCCCTTGTGCTGTGTATTAGAACCTATCACTCCATTTGATTTAGATAAAAAATGACAGAGCAAGAAGCTTTAACCTGTCATGCAAGCCTTTCATTCCTCTAGACATGTTAAGCAGCCAATAAAGCCCAAAAATTATTATAGAGCAGCAACTGAACTATATATTTATACGAGAAAATTGATCACATAATAATATAGCAAGCTAAAATGAAGTTTGGAACTACTAGTACTGAATTTCTACATTCCAGATCACAAATGTAACGCAGAATAAAGTATTATAGGTACAGCCAAAATGATAAGAGGTTATGTGGATTGGTTTCCACTAAAATTACTGAGACAAAAGAAATCTGGAATACAGAAATGATCCTACTTCAGAGCAAGGCTTATCAGTCAACCCAGATGTTGCAAAACAGACAGAAGGCTTTTCTCATAATTAAAAATATCACACTGGTCATAGGCAGCAGAAAAGTTGTGCAACTTCTTCCATTCCTTTGTAGTGACATTGAACAGATATAGTAAGTTCTCTGAGTCACCCCCCACCTCAGCCTCACTTTCTACACTTTTTTCTTTACGGCAGACTATTCCATTCCTCCAAATACACAAGGGCTGTAAAACATTTGAAAGTGGTCCAATCCTACATTTCTCAGTACAACCCACATATCAATGGAATAAGTTTTAGAGTCTTCGGTCTCAATGCGGTATCCATCACACATAGCAGGTTTGTTCCCCTACACATCAAGCCTAGATGGACAAAGACCATACTGATCAGCTTCAGAATAAAAAGCATCTATTGGTGTTAGTGTAAATACTTCCGTTGCTACGTCGAACGAAACTAACATATTTTTAAAAAGCCCCAGTCCATACCAAAAAATAGTTCCATTAGCACATACAGCTCCGGGGAGAAATTCTGTATGCCGTAAATCACCCATTTCTAGTTCCTTCCATGTACCTGTGCTTAATGAATACACGTGCACACAGTAAAGCCTGCTGCTATATAAGTGTTGAGCTTCCTTCTTGTTAAGCAAGATGGGTGATAAAATCTCACTATCCTGTAGTCATTTAAAACGCTACTGAACCCAAATCCTACGGCAGAAACGTGATGATAATCATATATTGTTTGGGGCACCTACCTTACCTCATTGGTCAATGGGTTCCACACCAGAAGCGAAATAGGAAACCTTCCTTGATCAGCATCGAGTTCCACGCAAAGGAAGCCATCGCAAGAGCCAATGATTCTCCAACCACGTCCGAAGGAATCGATCAAGCGTGTGCTCAGAACTTCAGCAGTTTCCATCTCATGATTAAGCAACCGTAAGGACAGACGCCTGTAGTTGTAATCGTATGCATGGATGAGAAGAAAAGGGTTTTACTGAGCAGAGTGGCGGGCATGCTTAGCAATGAAAGATGGGGTTTTGAAGAGACTTTTCCATTCTTTGTACACAGACTGAAATGGAACAATGGATTTGACAGGAAGCCTTTTGAGAATGTTGGTGATAATATCGAACCGCAAAAAGGGTTTTTCGCCACCAAGTGCCATCTGCTCGTCGGAGGGAATTAGGGATTCGAAATTCGCATTCATGGGCAGGGACTAGGGAGAAGCAGGGTGAAGTAGTCAGTAGTGAAGGAGAGAACGGCGTTTCGAGCAGGCAGACAAAAAGAAAAGGATAAAGGCGTTTTGTAATCTCAGGCCACAGAGAACAACTTATTTCGGGCTGATTTCTCGGTGACGTTTCATGCTTCTCCCTTCAGTATTCCATGCTTAGAAAAGTATTAAAAAAATAACAGATTGATAATTATTTTTTAAAAATATTCAATATCAATATTAATGATGAACAATCTTTTACGAAAATTTTAAATTAATGAAATTATTCGTCATTAATATTTATAATAAAAATAATTTTTCAAATAATTATTAATCCCTTATTTTTCAAAACAGAACTAATGTGGTAGAAAAAGACAACTTTAATCACTATATAACTAATTGGCAAATAACACGTGGAGAATAAAAGAAAAAGAAAAAGAAAAAGAAAGAGAGGAAGCTTAATTTTCATATGAGGAAAAAGGTCAAGGATGATGCGTAAGTGGGAGAGAGGATCAAAGGAGCACGAGAAAATGAAAAGGAGAGCAAGAGAGAGAATGAGACGGTGAGGTGGTGGGTAGTCAAGAGAGAGAATGCAGAAGTTAATTACTTTTTTTTTTTTTAAATACAACCCTCTTCGTCGCCCACTCCACTCTCCTTGAAACCGTACAAACGCATCCGGATCCCTCACTCGCGCACTTTCCCCCCGTACAGCACCGTACTCATCGTCCGGCCGATATGTTTCGTCCCCGCCCTCACCCAATTGCGCCCCCACTCGCTCCTTTATTCTTGCCTTTTGCGATTCTCTCACCCTCCCAACTAACTCCCTTCTCCTTCCCCTCGAGTTTCCCTGTTGAAGCAGAATGGCCACTCTTTTTACGAAAAATTTGGACGACAGTGAATGCATTTATCTTGCTCGGTTAGCCATGGAGGCAGGCAAATTTGATCCAACGGCTTATTTTATGCAGAAACTAGTGCTTTCTTCAAGTCGTAGTCCGATGGAGCTCAACATTGAGGAGAGGAATCTCCTTTTTGTGGGACAAAAGAGCGTGATTGACTCCCTCCGAGGAAGCCGGCAGTCCTTCTTGGAGGCCCAACAGAAGGAGAGGGAGAAGAATTCCGCTTCTAGATATCTTGTCCTTATTGAAAAATATATATCCGATGCTGAATACCAGTTATCTAAAGAATGTAATAACATGCTGGAACTGTTGGACTTCCGCCTGCTTCCTGGAGCTCAGACTACAGAGGACAGGGTCTACTATAATATGATGATAGGGGATTATCATGGATATCTAGCTGATTTCAAGGCTGGAATGAAAAGTTATATTGCTGCTGAAGCTGCCTGGACAGCTTACCAGAATGCTCAGGTAATGACTGTGTATTTTCCTGATTCATTAGATAAATCGTAGACAATCTTTTTCTTTTCTTTTCTTCGGTACTGTTTGTTTCTCCTCGTATGGGATAATGTCTTGTCCCACTATCTCGCAGGTCTTACGTGCATTACTTCCCCTCAATTTACGGCGCCCTTGATTTCCCTTTTTCATTATAGCAAGATGAATTCTTCGTTTTTCTCCTGATGGTTTGTGTTGATCATGCTTGATTTGGTCAATCAGCGCCTCTGTTCTTTTGTTTTTTTTCCTTCTTTTTTTGCTGTTAGATTGGTATGAAAAATGTATGATTTGAAATCTTATAATTCCAAAAATATCATGTGTTCTTACTTTGACTCTGGGCTTCTTGTCTAATTGGACTTCCAAGGTAGCGGCTATTGACCTTGCTGCCACTAATCAAACAAACTTGAGTCTGGCACTCAACCAATCTGCTTTCCTTTATGATTTTTGCGACAAACCTTATGAAGCATCTGAGATAGCGAAGAAGGTATGCTTCGTTCCATCCTTATCTCTACCTTTTCCTTATTTCCTGTTTATGCTATCCTTGCTGAGGACATAAACAGGAAATCTACTAAAATCTTGCTGATTTTCATTTCTGAAAGGCTTATGAAGAGGCAGCTGATGAGCTGGTGAAGACTCTGGGAAAAGGACCCTACGGAAACAGCGGCACAACAGTTGTCATGAAACTTATAAGAGACAACCTCATGGCTTGGGAGTCGGAGTACCCGGTCATTTACTACAGAACTCACCAGTAACTTATATTGTCAATCATATATATATATATATATATATATATATATATATACACACACACGAAACAATTTTGATTGACTTGATTTTATTGGGCATTATGCAGGGCCAGTTGCACCGGAGGCCATGGCGTCCCCTATTCTTCACTGAACCGCCTACGCCGAACTTTTGATTGTTGTGTGTTTGATGCTGAACTTTGTGACTTCTCTTTTATTTTAGTTTTGCATGTTTCATGCCTTAGCTTTGCATTACTGGAAAATGCTTGAACGCTCATCAGTTTTAGAAACTCTAATGGTAGGTAGCTACAAGCCAGTTCTGGAACTCGATATATTTTTCGGCTTTTAAATATATTATCCCTATATAACTCGACTTAAATTTCTCGATATTATAAGTAGTGGGTTTGATTTTTTCCTTGATGCTGTCATGAAAATATTTAGCAATCACGACGACCAATCTCACCTTCTCGCCCCAAATCACCTTTCAATGAGCTAATGCGTGTTTGCTTCAAGTGTCTGGTGGTAGTCACAACTGAACATTCTATATTGGTACCTAAAAGAAAATATGATTATAAAGTAAAATTAATACTGGTATATTTTTGTTTATTAATGATAGATAGATGAAAAAGTTAATTTGTATGTCATATTTTCATAAACTTAGTTCACATGAAAGACTCTGATCATTAAGCTTGTTGTTTAATATTTTTTATTTAATTATTTTAATTTAATTCAAAATATTGGATGTACTATAATTTGGAATTTGAATTTGATTTCAGACCAATCCGCCCATAAAGGAGTTGAAAGTTAGGATACAGGATCGGCATAAATACACAGTTATGTTCAGAGTTTTAGTATTTGCAATAACAGAAAAAATATGTTCATTCATATTATTCAAATTAAGTAACTGCGTTGGTATTCATATATGACAATGATTATATTTTAAATTAGGATTATGTCAAAATGTATTAAATGGGGAGTGATTTTAAATGGAGAAAATGGGAAGTTGCTCTAAGGTAACCGCCACAAAAATTCATATGGTGTTGGTCGAAATTGTAAAGTTGTGAATTCATATGGCAGTTTTTTCAATGGCACTGGCATTTATGCATGTCATGTATTGAGACATCCTTGGAAGCACTTATTCTTTTTTCTTTTCTTTTTTTTTCCTTTGGCCTGAGCGAGCACTTACATGTTCTAGATGTTATGGTTTCAGTTACATTTGATCAAGGTTCCTATAATTTACTACTCTGGTCCTATTTATAAAGCATTTCCAGCATATTTTACATAGACAAAAAAAAAACCTGAAATTTCATTAATTTTTATTTAAAATTTAATAACTTTTTAAATTTATCCCTATTTAATATACATTATACTTCGTCTAAATAAAGTCAGCACAATAATAAATTATAGGTAAAATTATACATGTACACAAAAATTTTCTTTCAGTATCCTATAAATAGGATAAAAAATTGTCTTCTCTCTCTACCCTATAAATAAGAATAAGAGGAGTATTTTGTAGGATTTAGTCAAAGTCGTTCTGTTAACTTGCACTGTTAAAAATAATTATGCGGCAAATGATTTAATGACCTGGCAAGCTTTTCAGGATGACTTGTGCTTTTTCTTGTTAACTGGTGCCAAATCACCACCCACCTCATCCCCATCCCCGTCTTGACCCTGCCCGACCTCCATCATCTCCGTTTTCCATCGTGCGGCGGATCGTCTTCTCCTTGTATTCCCTCGAGATCTGAGTTTTAGATCTGTCATCGCAATAGGACGCAATGCCCAAAGGGAACTATAAACATTGCCCTGGTGGTGAGGGTGAAGCGGGACCCTTCCATGACGAGGATCTCTTTGGAGCAGGGTGATGAAGCCGACGCAGCCATGGACTGCGTGGAAGGCCGCCGAAGAGACAAGCCTCAGCTCAGTAAGCCAAAGACCTGACGCGGAAGGGCGCCGACGAGATGATTGGGTGTCGATGCTGCGGAAGGCACAGTCAGGTGGGGTGCTTCAGATTTAAACTAATCAACTTGTCTGATTTGAAATTGGATGATTAAAATTTGGGATTTCAATATGTTCGTTCCCTACTTGTTGCTCCTATCAACTTCCACGAAGGGATTGCATGAGTAGGGTCCCGAAGTGGTGAGCCGGTTTGGGCGCAGTTATCATAAAAAACATTGCCTTAACTCTGTTACTCCCTCCGTTCCTTATTATAAGAGACGAATAACCGAATCACGTTGATAAAAAAACAGTTAAAATTAGTTAAGAACAATCAATGTATAAAAAGTATATTTTTTTTCCAAAAATGCCCTCATTAATAAGGAGAAAGAGCATGAGAGAGAACAATTAAATTATTAAAAGAAAGAGAAGTGTGAGGGAGAGAGAGTGTGAGTTGGAGACAATAAATATGGGTAAAATAGGAAATCAACACAAAAAAGTAGAAATAACTTTTAAATATCTTTTATATATAGGAACATATCATAAGCATCAAATGTCTCTTATAATAAGAAACGAAGGTAGTAATTAACTGAAGGACTTTAACTAAATTTGACTAAAATTACAGGACCCATATCCTGAAAAATAAATTACAGGCACCTTGATCACATATTTCTGAAACTCGAAGAACCTATGCCATAGTTTTCCCTTACAAGAATACAAATACTCCTTCTGTCCCTTATTATGAGTCTAATTTTTTAAATAAGTTTGTCTCTTTTTATAAAATCTCTTGGGTTTGTCTAAATTTTTAATGCATTATTACCTGTTTTACTCCGAATTTAATGTATTTAATATCTTCTCCTTCTTCCTTTACCTCACTATTATTCTCTCACATCTACCCAATTATATATAGGGGTATATTTGGAAAAAATTAATTTTGCTACATATTAATTACTTTTAACTAATTTTAACTGTCTTCTTAAACTACACAATTTAATTAAAAAGATCTTATAATAAGAGACGGATTAGTAGCATGCAACACAAATATCTATAAACTTACCAACTCAGTTAATTAATCATCCATGTAGATGTTCCACGTAACATGTCTTTCCTTCTTTTTCTTTTTCTTTTTTTTTGACCTCAGTAATTAATCAGGCTTTCAGTAATTGTTCACGTTTGAATTGTTTCACGCGTAACATTTATTAATCAAGTCCCTTTCCACTGTAGTACTCCCTCCGTTCCTTATTATAAGAGACATTTGATACTTATGATATGTTCCTAAATATAAGAGACACTTAAAAGTTGTCTTTACTTTTTTGTATTGATTTCCTATTTTACCCATATTTATTGTCTCCAACTCACACTTTCTCTCCTCCCACTTCTCTTTCTTTCAATAATTTAATTGTTCTCTCTCATGCTCTCTTTCCTTATTAATGAGGGTATTTTTAGAAAAAAGATTATATTTTTTACACATTGATTGTTCTTAACTAATTTTAACTGCTTTTTTTATCAATGTAATTCGGTTATTCGTCTCTTATAATAAGGAACGGAGGGAGTATTTCCGAATTCCGTCGTTTTCCTTTCCGAGGTATGGATTAATGAACCATCTCTTCGTCTATATACTTCTTTAAGAGCCCTAATCTCTTCGTTTTGACCATACAATGAAATAGTAGAGTGAAATTAAAAAAAAAGAAGGCAAAAACATATTAAGCTCTTGTAAACTTTAAGTTTTTTTTTTTTGGCCAAAGTAAACTTTGAGTAAGTTAGAAATAACTTTCCTGACCTTTAACAGTTTTGATTAAGAATCTTAATGGTTCACATCAATTTTCTTGCCGTTAAAACTACTATTAAAATTACTATTAAAGTTACCGGTTGTTGTCATGTCAAGATTTTTATATTTTTCATTATATATTAAATAATTTATAATTTTTCTATTTAAAATGGACTCGATCAAATAAACATTTTAAGTAATTTAAAAATACTTAACAAATTACATGTCAAATTGCAAGTTTTGGGTCTAAAATAACTTGCCTTATAATAAAAAATTTAAATATTTTGACATAACAAAAATTCTTTAACTTCAACGGTAATTTTAATAGCGGGGGTTAATAATCAACATATGAAATATTAGGATTTTTAAACAAAATTAATTATTTGAAATTTATAATAGAAAGGAGTATTTCCCAATCTTTTGATACCCCTTCGGTTCAAAATATAAGTATCAAATTTTTGAATGTGCTTTATTTTTTTTGTAAACATTAATTTGAATTTGTCTAATTGTTTAATGTATTTTTTTCTTTTTTTTCCTTCCTTTTTATGCAAAAAAGGTCTCTCATTTTTCCCACTCATTCTTCCTCATTTCTATTTCCACACGTTCTCTTCCCCACTCGCTCTCTCATAAACAAGATTGTTTTAGAAAAATAAATTGTATTATATATATTTATTATCTTTAACTAATTTTCATGACATGTTGGTAATTTAAATGTAGAAGAAAAAAGATATATGGATAGTGTTAAAATCATGGTTTTAGCACTTAGAATTTAACTCATATTAAACTGTTAGTTCCCAAAGGTGCAATAGTGTTAAAATATGCTAATGTGTTATTAATTTTAATCGTAAGAGAACTAATCAAATAAATAAATAAAAAAATAATTTTTTTTGTTAATATAATTTTTATTCCTTAAATTTGGGTCCTTTTTTGTTCCTCAAATTTCAAACTCGTGGTCTTAGTATTTAGAATTTAGCTCATCTTAAAATGTTAGTTCCTGAAAATGTAATAGTGTTAAAATATGCTAATGTGTCCTTAATGACATTAAAAGTGCTGATGTAAACTCATTAAATAGCATCTAATTGGATCTTGTGTAAATAACAAAATGCCCCTTTGACCAGCCTCCTGGAACCAGCAATAACAAAGAAAAAAATGGAAGGTTTCACAAAATTCAGACACATTATTTGGTGAGTCCACATCACCACTTTAGTGTATTTATGACACTTTAGTAAATTTAACACAGTTACACATTTCTGGACTAACATTTTAAGATAGACTAAATTCTGAAAATTAAAACCATGTGATTGAAACTTGAGAGACTAAAACTAAAATTGATCCAAATTTTAGGGACTAAAATCATATTAGGGGTGAAACAATAGCATATAATTTACTAAAACCAAAATCCTCCATCTCCTCTGTCTTTTTTTTTTAACTTTTACCCCTTAGATTCATACCCACATCATCAATTTATTATTTAATTATTAATATTGATGTTTATTAATTTATCTGATTTATATACTATATATGTCAATTAAGTTAGCAACACCGTTAGTTACAAACTTTCTTCATCGCCCGCTCCACTCTCCCTCACCCGCGCACTCTGCCCCTGTACGAATGTATCCAGATCCCTCACTCGCGCACTCTGCCCCCGTACAAATGTATCCGGATCCCTCACAGCACCGTACTCATGGTTTCGCGATATGCCTGGTCCCTGCACTTGCTCACCGCCGCCCTCACTCCCTCCTTTCTTATTTGCCTTTGTGAGTCTCTCACTCTTGCCCTCACTCACTCTCTTCTCCTTCCCCTCGAGTCTCGCTGCCGAAGCAGAATGGCCACCCTTTTTACGAAAAATTTAGACAAGAGTGAGTGCATCTATCTTGCTCAGTTAGCTCAGAAGTTAGGCAAATTTGATCAGATGGCTTATTTTATGCATAAATGGGTGCTTTCTTCAGTCTTACCGGTGGAGCTCGACCTAGAGGAGAGGAATCTTCTCTTTGTCGCACAAAACAACGTGATTGAATCTCTCCGGACAGCCCGTCAGACCTTCTTGGCAGCCCAGCAAGAAGAGAGGGAGAAGGATTGCGTTTCTAGCTATCTTTATCTTATTGGAAAATATATATCGGATGCTGAGTACCGCTTATCCAAAGAATGTTATAACATGCTGGAGCTCTTGAAATCTCATCTGATTCCCCCTGCTCGTGCGACTGACGATAAGGTCTACTATTATACGATGGAAGGGGATTATTACGGATACCTGGCTCAGGTCAAGGATGAGGAGGAGCGTAATTGGCATGCTGCAAAGGCCGAGACAGCTTACGTGAATGCTCAGGTTCTTTTTTCTTTTTGGGTACTGTTTGGTTCTTTCTGCATGGAATAATGTCTTGTCCCACTATCTCACAGGTTTTACTCAACATTACCTCACCTCAATTTACGGCGCCCTTGATTTCCCTTTTTCATTATAGCAGGATGAATTCTTCGTTTTTTTTCGCAATGGTTTGTGTTTAAGTTTGATTTGGTCAATCAGCGCCTCTGTTCTCGGTCTGTTTTGCTGTTAAATTTGTGTCATTTGCCCAAGCATTAAAAATGTAGTTCTTCCATGTATGACCTAACATTATAACTGTTGAAAAATGGATGATTTGAAATCTTATAATTCTAAAAATATTGTTCTGACTTTGGGCTTGTTGTCTAATTGGAGTTCATAGGAACTGGCTACTGACCTTATTGCCACCCATGAAACAAAGTTGAATCTGGCACTCAACCATTCTACTTTCCTTTATGATTTTCTCAAGAAACCTTGTGAAGCATCTGAGATAGCTAAGAAGGTATGCTTCGTTCCATCCTTGTCTCTACCTTTTCCTTTTTTCCTGTTTATGCTATCCTTGCTGAGGACATAAACAGAAAATCTACTAAACTCTTGCTGATTTTCATTCTTGAAAGGCTTTTGAAGAGGCAGCTGATGAGCTGGTGAAGACTCTGGGAAAAGGACCCTACGATGACAGCGGCACAACAGTTGTCATGAAACTTATAAGAGACAAGCTTAAGGTTTGGGAGTCTGAGGCACCGGTAACTTACTACATAACTAACGTCTTGGATATTTTTGAAGCACATAAAAACAATTTTGATTGACTTGACTACACTGGGCATTATGCAGGGCCGGCTGCACAAGAGGCCATGGCGTTCCGAGTTCTTCCCTTAACCGCGGAGGCTGACCATTTGATTTTTGTGCGTTTCGATGCTGAACTTTGTCATCACTAGCGTTTCTGTTTTAGTTTCGCATGTTTCATGCCTTAGCTTTGCATTACTGGAAAAAGCCCGAACTCTCCTCAGTTTTAGAAACTCCAATGGTAGGTAGCCAGTTCTGGAGCTTGATATATTTTTGGGCTTTTAGATATATCATCGCGATATAACTCGGCTTAAATTTTCTGATATTATAATAGTGAGGTTGAGTTTTACCTTAACTAGCATATGCGCCGGAGGATATGACTACCGGCGAAGATCTAAGAGCAACCATAAAGATAGGTGCAAATAACATATGCCATCACTAAAAGTCCGACAATCTGCCTGTACACAGGAGACGCTTCCACAAAGAAGGTACCAACTAATTGGAAAAACATAACAAAGCATTACAACAATGAAGAGCAAACAGCCTAAACAGATGCATCCGACCAACAGATATGTTTATATCTCATGACAGCTTATCCTAAAGTCCATGTCTCTGAGAGAGCAATGAAAACAAATTCAGTTCAACGTGTTCATCAATATCATTTGTGATTGGAATAAGTGTTCATGGCACTAATCACTGAATGGAACATAGGTAATGGAATGTGCTTGGCTCATAATTATTTAATAATAAGGTTTAATTTAAATAATGAGATGTGGTATCCTATGCTAACGAACCACATGTACCAAACTGCAATGTCATTATACAAATCTTGATCAAAGATATAATGTCATAGTAGACTTATATAGAGATGGAGGTGTGCTAATGAGAAGTTGCAGCATTTTCCCAATGAACGACTATTCTCCTGCATCTTCCAGCCTACATGAAAAAATTGAAAACAGTACGCCACAGATGACTCATCTATCAGGAATGAACAGTTAATAATCGGACAATGTTGACAGTCCCAAGGCAATGAACAGTTTTTGGAAATCTCAGTCATGTAATAGGCGAACGGGAGCAAAATGATGCAAAATAAAAAGAAAATGCATGCTGTGCGTAACCTGTACACTCTGCTTTTGATTAGGTAGTTGCAAAGCTTACAGTAACAGTCGATACTAGTTCCCCGTCTATCAACTTAGGTCCTGTTTGATAGGAAGCATTAAAAGTTAGAGATACGGATTGTGATTGAAATTAAAAAAAATTATTAAAAAAATGTTTAACATAAGAGATTGCTTGTTACATAAGATTAGTCAAATGTGGGGTTGGGAATACCATTGGGGGAAGCAATAAATAGTATTCCCCAATCCACATCTATATATGGGTTTGTCTAATCGCATATCACAAGCAATTACTCATACTAAATATTATTATAATAATTTTTCTCAATCTCAATCTCAATCTCAATCTCTCATTTCTAATGCTTCGCACCAACTAGGGTTTTAGATCTCATATGCATTGGAATGAGGAAACAAATGAGCTGATTATATATAATGCACAAGCACGAAACCCAAAACGCGGTGTCCATTTTTTTGTGGAAGCCGCTACTGTTCATATGAGCCGTAGCTGGTGAGGGGAGCCGATGAGCAAGCAGCATCAGCTCAGTTCCTTTTATAGCAAAGGTGTTCAGGTTATGTCGATTCTGTCATGAAAATATTTAGCAATCGCGACGGCCAACCTCACCTTCTCGCCCCAAATCACCTGTCAATAAGTTAATGGCTCCGTTGGGATTAGATATTGAAAAAATAGTTTATTATCAATTTAACTTTTAGAAAAGTTAGATCAAGTAAAAACTAAGGGGTGTTTGGATGAGGCAAAACCATGGTTTGCAGAATAGCTTTTAGAGAATAGATTTTGGAGAAAATAGATTTTGAAAGAATAGATTTTTTGAAAAAGTGATTCTGAGAAAGTGAGAGTGTTTGATAATTAATGTCAGAAGTGCTTTTTGATATGTGAAAATTACTAAAAAGGACATAAGTTTAAATGATAATTACATATAAGATATATTTCATAATATATGTTTATTTTAAGTAATAAATTTATTAATAATATATATTTTGGCAACATAATAAATAAGGTATAAATAAAATAAATAATAAAAAATTTCCGTGTATATATAGTAATAAAATAAATAAATATGTTTTTAGCAAAATGATGTATTTTGCCAAAGAAAATATTATTATTTCTTAAAGATTTGAAAGATGAAATCTGATAATTTTGTTTCACAAAATTAAATAACCACACAAAAAAATTTCATATTAATTGTGTTAATAATAGAGGTTGCAACGAAATATATTTGTTCAAGTAGGTTTTTTTAACAACACATTACATTATGTGAAAAGAAAAAAGAAAATAAAAAGGACATAACTATTCTTGTATGTAGTGAACAATTTGATCTCTTATGGAGTCACAAAGCCGAGCCATGTGAAATGAAGAATCTACTGATGAAGGTATATGTGAAGATCCAACTCCATCATCATCATTTTCTTCTGCATAAGAACCTTCTTGTTCAAACTGAATGAAACCAGGATCAGAAATGGATGTTGATCTAATGAAGTTATGTATGGCCATCGTTGCACAAACAATTTGAACCTGTGTTGCAAAGTCATAGCTCGGCATGTTTCCTAAAATTGCAAACTTACTCTTCCAAACTCCAAAAGTTCTTTCGATAGTGCTCCGTAGACTTGAGTGCAAATAATTGAACGCCTCATTGTCATTTTCAAGTGCAGATGACCTTCGAAAATCAGGGAGATGGTAGCATTCACGTCTGTAGGGACCAAGGTATCCCATGGGCGTCGGATAGCCAGCATCCACCAAATAATATTTGCCTACATGAAATATATGACTGGTGTCAATAAAAATTTTTTCGTAACAGTTAAGCATAAATAAATTGTGGGAATTTAAAATATACCTTGAGGCGGATGGGGAAAGTTCATGGAAGGAGTTGTAAGGGCGTGGTCAAATATACGAGCATCATGCGCACTACCTTTCCATCCGGCCAATACAAAAGTGAAGCACATGTCCCAATCGCAAATAGCCATTACATTTTGCGTCACTCTTCCTTTTCGGTTAATAAATTTTGTTTGCTCAGTTGCATCAACAATGCACAAAATATGTGTTCCATCAATTGCTCCAATAGCATGTTTGAAAAAGGGCCAGTATCGACCACCAGGCCATATTTTGGTATGCAAATGCTGAAACGTTGGATCTTTTGGTTTGATGTTGGTCATAGCAAGTCTATAGCATGCCAGTAAGACATTATGAAAATGTCTACTAATTGTCTCCCCTGAATGCTGAAATCTTTCTTGCTGCATCCTACTACTAAGCGCATGGCCAACAGTATTTAAAAACATTGCAACCATTTCATGTATCCTAACATTTCTAGTTTCCCTTAGACCGTGTTGTTGCAATTCTGTGCAAAGACTAAAGAACACTTCTCTTTCCATCCTAAACATGTTATAACAACGAGTGGAATGGCCTTGTAAAACATCCCTTACCCATGTCTTGCCTGTATAAATACTTGTATGCTGGGGCTCTTTACACAAATGAAGAGAAGCGTATCCACCAACCGCTACTGCAACTTGATTAACCCGTTTGTTCTGTCGTTTACGATACTTTTCTGCAATTTTAATTTCATCAGCCATTTTTTGTCTTGTCCTGTGCACATAGATATAAAATTCAGAAACCCTGATATGAAATTACTTAACATTTAACAAGAAAATAAGTTGTTTAATTCCTACAGAAATTCAGTAGTCACATAATACAATAGTCTGGTTACATCATTCCTAAAAATAGATACAAATTATCATAGTCATCTTGTAAGCAACACAAATGAAGTCTCAATCCTTAGTTGCATGCTTCAAGAAGATCAGTAGTTTTTCCCTCTTGTTCTTCAGAGCCACATACATCTCCCTTGCAGCTGGCTTGTCCATAAGGAGTGTTGTGCACCGGCCAAATAGATCAAGATCATCAACAATTTCATCAACTTCATTAAGGTGCTCCATGACTCCCGCAATTGACGTCTCATAAGCACGTGCTTCTTCTTCTAACTTCCTAGCACGTGCTTCTGAAATCTCTTCATGTTCACGCTGAGAATCATTTTCATTTGCCTGAGCTATCCTGCTTAGTGCATCTGCTATTTTCATAGTGGTAGTAGGTTTCTTCTTCATGGATTCACCCTTTTTTCTAACCCCTAATGAGCTACTAGGTCGACTGCCACCTGTGCTTCTACCCCCACGAATAGTTTCCTGTCTCATTCCAGTGTTGCCTCCACTTCCTCCACTATTGTCATTGAATGTGACTGAATTAAACTCCCCGCTTATGCCAGTTGGTGCCCCCAAAATTTCATCACTATCTCCAGATCCTTCTTCCATATCATCTTCAGGAACTCCTTCGCTTGGAAGTGTCATGGAAGAAGGTGCCCATGACTGTGGTCCAGTCGCAACTACAGACCCAAAGAGTTGAGTCAATTCAGCCCGAAATTGAAGCCCTCTTTCTCTAAATTTCTCATAGCCTGGAACTTCCTGCGCATTCAACACCAAAAATATTATACATTATACAAAAAACGTTAACATAGGAGAAAATACAAGTTCAAATAAAGTTAAATGATTACCACTATTTTCTTCTCCCACCAATCATCAGGGGCACTAACAGTATTCCTTTCAGCATCCCACCCTAAACTTGTCTCACGGAGCAGCCTATCCCATAACTGCCACTCCTTTCGCAAGGTATCAAATTTGTTCTTTAATTGGATTTTCGTATAAACCCTCCCAATCTTTGCAGTAAAGTTCTCCTCAATACTTGTCCAAGCAGGCTTTGTCATGCTAGTTCCTCTTCTTCCTCCTCTTTCAACTTCTTCAATACACAGGTCAATAAAGATCTTTGTGGCTCTTATATCCCACGAAGCCTTGCTATTTTTTTATTCATTATGCTATAAACCAATTACAACAGTTCAGTCATGACAAGTTCAACCCAAAAAACATACCATTCAGTCCAGGAGATATGATATAACAGGTATAGTATTTAACAAGTATAGCCAC